ATATATTTTTTTTATTAATATTTATTAATTTATATAAATTAATCAAAATTTATATAAAATAAGAATATAAAACAGTTAAACAGGTAAAATATAATAAAAAATTGTTTGTTTATCTCTTAATAATTTTATTAAGAGTCGTTAAGAGGTGAATCTTGTTTGGTAAAAAAAATTTGTTTCTTAATAGTTCTAAATCCCTCTGAATGATTTTGTATCATGAGTCTTCCTTAACCATTAAACGCTCTAATTTTATTGTTAACAATTATATTTCATTTTGTATTGAATCACAAGAGTCTCTTAAGCTTTCTAATTATTTAATCATTATGTACCAAACTATTCAATAATTATCAAACATCCCCTAAATCACAATAATAAAATAATAATTTTTTTAAATATAAAATTAAAGTTACGTGTCAAATTCTGGATGGACCCGTAAAAATTGATGGCATTTGCAAGGTGAGCACGTAATAAAATGAAATTAATTAAAATAGTAATTTTCAATTTTAATTTTATCGCTTAATCTGTTTCTCTCTTAAATCATTAAAATATCATTAGGTCTACAATTTACAGAGGGTTAAAGTGTAAGCGGCTGTTTGTTTGGTTTTTAATGGTGACATTAAGAGTCAACCTCTTAATCAGTAAGATGTAAGGACTGTTTGGCAAAAAAAATTAAGTTTCTTAGGGGCCGTTTACTAAACGCTTACTCAGGTCAGTGAACACCAAGTCACATTACCTTACCCGATGAATATGGTAACGACCAAGAATCTTACCCGGTAAGAGCGAGACAAGGACCAAGAGTCTTACCCGGTAAGTGAGGGCGATAACGGTAAGCACTTACCGGGTAAATTATTGCATATGATACCGTTTTGGTGGACTAAAATCTTACGCAGCAAATCAATGATAATGTTAAATTTTGTCGGTAAGGACTTACCTGATAAGTGTTTGGTAAACGGCCCCTTACGTGGTTACATTAACCTCTTAACCATTTTGTGTCTAGGGCTTCACTAAACCATTCAGATTGCATTTGTTAAATCTTTACCCTTCCACACCCTTCATCTTTGTCTCCTCCCGTGGCGGTTCATCCCCTTGTTGCTTTCTTCTAACATTCGCATAACATAAGACTGATTCCAAAGCACCCGTCTTTTTTCATTAACGCACAGAAGAAGAAAAAAGCAGCTCTTTCTTCTTTTTCGGCGCCGGCGTCTCCACCAGATGGGTTACCTTCCTCTGCATTGTTATTTTTTGTTTTGGTGTCATCTTCATTAACAGGTACCTGTTATTACTGCCTTCTTTTGATCTTCTTTACTCCTCGATTACAGATTTGGGGTTGGTTCTTGTTTTCTTACAATCTTGAATTTTCCTGTAATTTTCTTGATTTTTGTTTCTCTGTAGTTTGAATTTTTGAAGGATTGTTGAGTATTTTATTATACATCTTGGTTTTGTATATTACTGGAACTAGATTGGGAAAACGGGTGTCCTTAATGTTTCATCTAATTTATTGGTTTTAGGTCTCTTTCGAAAAGCTTATTATGGAATTATGTGATTTGATGTTAGTTGAACTATTTTATTCAGATTTGGGTTCTTTCCCAAACCTTGGATGACTTTGTGTCTGAACCTATTCGGGTAAAATGATAATTTGTTATCATTCAGAGAACATTATTTCATTCAACACTTAACTATTATGGCCCTCTTAATCATTCGAATCACTTAACCATTCTGCATCAAACCATTCAGTAACCGTCAAACAGCCCCTAAAAAAAGATCTACAATTTACATAGGGTTAAAAAGTAAAAAAAAAAAAAAAGTTTCTAAACCAGTCCCGCAAAAGTATAAGAATCAAATTTGTAAATTAATATCAACAAGTTACGGAATTGCATTTGTGGACCTGTATCTATTTTACAGATTTGATCTCTGCATTTGCGGATGTGGTTCAAAAACTTTTTTTTACACTTTAACCCATCCACAAAGTGCAAACCTGTCACTTACGGACCTACTGACATTTTGTTGATTTTAGAAGAGAAATGAGTAAGAGGAATAAATTTTAGTTTTTTGTTAAAAAGAAAATTATTAGTAGAAAAATTATATATATGGAAAAAGTAAATGATAGATTAGTAATTAAACCTTTTTATTCACATTTATACATAACTTTCGTGATATTAAATACATACATATTTTTTATACACATAATATTTCTTATAATACATTGTCTTCTTTTGGTGTATATATTATAAAAAAATAATATTTTTAAAATAAATAAATTATATATTTATGAGATAACATTAAAGGCAGAAAGCAACAAGTGTTCGTTACACATACATTTGTTTCCTAAAGTGAACATTTATTATGCATTTAAAAATTAAAAAAAAAAAGTTTTAAAAGACATATAAAATAAAATTGTGAATTAAATATATGTTAATTAATATAATATATTATAATTTTATATGTAAAAAATCATGTGAAACAATACCATAAATGAAAATGACAGTCAACAAGAAGGCAATAAGAAATATGAGTTACATAATTCATTAATTAAAAAATACCATAAATAAAAATGATGGACAGTAAGAAGGCAATAAAAAATATGAGTTAAATAATCTATTAATTAAAAAAATACCATAAATAAAAAGTGAAAAATAATTTTGGGATTTAGGATAATTACTATTTTAAATTGAATAAATTCTTAAAAATCTTATTATCTTTAGATTTATTTGTTTTTTAAAATTTGATTAATTCATAATTTTTTATGTTAAGTTTTGTATAATTGTTTTTCTACATATAGTTTTGATAAAAAAAAAAAAAATCACAATATTGATTAAATATCACATCTGATGTCCACAATAAGTCAGTGTGAAAACAAATTTTTTTTTATCTACATTCAGTTATCTTCATTGACTTATTATATATCTGACTGAAATTTTAACAAATTTATACCTGTAAAATGATTGAAGATATGTAAAAGTTCGTTAATGTAAGTGAAAATGCAAAATTTTTAACCATGAGATGAAAAAAGGGGATTGTTAATAACACTCTCTTAATAGAGGGTGTTGAATGCTTGGAAATCTGCAATCTTTAAAATCTGTAAAATATCAAATCGATTTAATAATATATTATATTTAATTATCATTTAATATACATATATCTTATTTAAGTTATATTATATAATTATATACATACTTTTATGCATATATTATATAATATTTTTATTATCTTCACTTATATTATATATATAGGGTATATTTCAAATGCAAACATGTTTATTTGTACAAGCAATGCAACATATATATATATATATATATATATATATATAATATTTTTTTTATTTATATTATTATTATAAATTTATTACCTTCACTTATACTATATATAGAAAGAAAGAAATAGAGCTTAATTCAAATGTTAATCTAAATTATTGTGTTAACTTTATAAATCTTATCGACCAATCATAATTTATCTTAATATTAAGTTCTTTACTATCTAAGAATTTAATATGAAGAAGTTAATGCTAAAGGTACATCAGGTAAAAAAAAAAATTGTAACTCCTACATCACTAATTGGGAGTTACAAGATTAATAAAAATCTCATGATTTTTGCATTTTTAATATTGATATTCCATTTTTAATATTTATAAATTTGTGATTGGTGAAATAGATCCGTTAGTAAAGTGTTTGTTATCGTTTAAGCAAATTATGGATAAAGACATTGGAAAACAACACGGCATCATTGAGAAGGTTAAAATTGTTTATAGTGATAGCCGGAGTTCGAGATCAGGAAGTGGAGTAAATAATCAAAGCGAGTGTCTTGATAATTCTGAACACAAATTGACATATATCACACAAATTAACATATATGAACACTTGTGACAATTATGAACACAAATTGAACATATGTGTGAACACTTGTGGCAATTATGAAAACAAATTGTATATATATATATATATATATGAACACTTATGACAATTATAAACACAATTTAACATATATGATTTGTAACCGATTTATACTATTTGTAACTGATATCATTGAATGCATATTA